CGTACCTGGATTTGTTACAAATGCTAAAAAATTATTACAAGCCTGTCAACAAGAAGGATACAATCATTTCCGCCTACTAGATATTGAAAAATGGTTAAAGAACCAGTATGTTCATCAAATATATCTCTTTCTGCAAAAATGCAAAGCCAAAGCAGGGTTTCAGAAGATATCTATTCCTAAGAAAGTACATCAGTGCGATCTGTTAGCACATACCCATGATTATGAAGGCGGAAAGATATATCTCTATACTTTAGTGGTAATAGACATCACCACACATTTTAAAAGTGCACAGTCATTGACATCGAAAAATAGTCTGGAAGTTTGGAATGCAATCGAAGAAATTTACAATGATCCAAATAATCCTCTCACGTGGCCGAAGTTGTTAATGGCTGATGGTGCTAAAGAGTTCTCTGGACATTTTTCACTGGGAATGCAATGATATAATGTTTCTATCTGGGTCGTTGACCTTTACAGTTTTGAAAGCCTAGCAATTGTTAAGGCATTTAAGCGAGAGTTGGCAAAAAAGATATACAAAATCCAATATGCAATAGATTCAAAATTACCAGCAGAAGAGCGATCGAGATTGTGGAATAAAATTCTCCAAGTAATTGTTGATTATATGAATAATACAAAGACACGTTTAATAGATATGCCACCTGCTAACGCAATGAAGTTGAAAGAAGTGATCTCTAAACCATCTATCAAACCCAAAAGACCTATTGGGGAAGACGAAGAGCAAATACCAAAAGGCACTACTGTTAGATACCTATTAAAACCTGGTGAACTAGAAGGTGGACATACACACCGAGCAACTGATCCATACTTCTCATTACGTGTTTATAGAATCAGAAAAATTGTTGTTGGAAAAAATCCACCACAGCCAGTTTTATATTATCTTGAAAAGGAACCAGTTGAATCCACAAAACATTTGATGGGTAGAAATCCACGTCGACCATTTAAGCGCGAAGAATTGCAAATCGTAGATATGAAAAATCTTGAATATCTGCCAGACGAATTTATCCAGAAATATCATTATCAAACAAGGCCAATCCAGAGAAAACCATTATCAATTGGAACAGTTCTGGAGATATCCATTCTTGATTAGAGAATCTCGGATAAAGTTATAAAGATCTACGTTATATGGAATTTCGATAAGGCATATATCTTGCTCCTTACAGATATTCCGCTTTTTTTGATCGCGCTTTCTTTGCTCATATAAATCTTGCCCGCTTTTATGAAACATTGGATTAAGAGCGTAATGTTGTTTGCCATTAAATTCGAATGCCAGTTGCAATTCTTCGTTATATCCATCAAGCCGTAATCCATTCAAGAATTTTGGTGCACGAGATGGGAATTTTTTTCCTAACAAATCTTCGAATATATATCTTGATATACGTTCTCCTCTTGAACATGGGCATAGAGGACACCAGTCATACCTCTTCGTAATAACTTCTATTGGCCTCTCCCATAAGTGCTTCCTATGACACGAGAATAAGAAAGTTGTAGGTCCAGTTTGGATGTGACATTTTCCTCCACGTTTTTCGGCGTAAATTTGAGCTTCTGCAAGATTCGACATGTTTATACTCATTTCTAGGAAAAATTTGCAAAAAAAAAATATAGCAGAGCTAGTGTCAGAGACACATAGTCAGTATCAGAATGAAGTACTATTTTATGTATATAGTATTGATGGAATCAAACCACCAAAAAAATCACGTGCACGTGAGCAATTGTTCACGCCGATCACTTTTGTCAAGAAAAAAAAAATCATAAAGATATAGTTGAATTGATATCAGAATGAAATATTTTTATGTATATAATATTGATGAGATCAAAGCACCAAAAAAATCTTTAGATGATGAAGACGCTCCAAAGTCGCCATTCTATATTGTGGTGTCTGGGAGATCGAACACTGGTAAGACCAATATGCTGTTAAACCTCTTTAACGGGGATAAATACTATGATATGGAAGAGGGAAAAAAGAAAATTGGTGAACGTTTTATACGTTGCAATGATCTAGTACTTGTGGGACATTATATTAATGAACCCAAATGGAAGTTAGTTCGAAATTTTTATAAGAAAATAGCAGATCGTTCCAAACCATATTATGAAGATGTTACATTTACTGCACTTACATCTGATAAAATTCCAGACCCAAAGCAGTTTAAAAATCCAAAAAGACGTACAGTAATTATCTTCGAGGATCTGTGCACTGAATCTCCAGCGATCCAAAATCGTATCATTCCATTTTTTAATAGAGGACGTCATAGCAATATCTCCGCCATTTATATTTCGCATAAATTTACACAAGTACCAAAAATCATTCGTGAAGGAATTACTCACCTCGCATTATTCAATGGTGGGGGGTCAACAGAAGATATTGCACGAATTATAAGACAATACATAGAGGAAGATCCATGTAAAGCTTCTAAAACCATCAATAAATATTTGCGGAATGGAGAGTTTATAGTTTTTGACACTACCGTACCAATCTCTGATTCTATGTCTATTAGAATCGGTTGGATGAATCCTCTAGATCTGGAAAAAGAGATCAAATCATTAACAGCGTAATAAAGAAAATAAATTATGAGATTTTTTAGTAAAACTAACTCTGCTAAGCTTGGATAACTTATCTTTATCCTCTACAATTGTAACTTTTTTCCTTCGATTTCATATAAAAAAGATGTCCAAGTTTAATCAAATAATAATATTTCTCCCACTATTTTTTTATATATAGAATATAGTATATAGTATATATCTTACTCGCCACTCTGTAGAGATGCACGTATCCAGCCGGTGTTGAAATTGAGGTAGATATATATTTCAGATAAAATGCACTCCTCCGTGTATTCAATCATTATTCTATCTGCCACTCATATTATTGAGCTGACCGATCCTGCCGGTGTGAAGTTAGAGTGAATATTGAAAACAATGGTATTAGCCTGCCAGCTTCGCTAATACAAGTCCATGTATTATTTCTAATATGGGGATTTTTGTGACCCATAAAACAGGTTGATATATAAAATTAAAGTAAAAAAAGCTATTAATCATCACGAAATAGCAGTGAATAAAAGTCTAAAGTACTAGCCCTCAGGAATACCTTAGGTGATTTTATTTTAAAATGGATATATATGAATAATAAATAGATATATTAATCGAATAAATAGATATGTGTATTAATTAATATATTTACACTTCTATTTCTAAAAGTCGCTGTTGGAATCTAGACCGCAATTGACTCTTTTTAGATTCTATCCAATTATATGGAATATAATATTCTTCATATTGTCTATTAATAATGGAACTGAGCATCATGGGATTGGGATCGTTTTTATATAATTCAATCCATTTAGTACGCCACTGATTAAATTGTTCTCGAGTCTGAGGATTTTTCACTTCGTGTCGAGTTAAACCTAAAAATTTCTTACCATCTGGAGTATTATCATTCGGTAAGCTATTCCATGCAAGCCGTGCATTCGATGGCTCTTTCTCTTGAAAACGTCTCCAAGCTCTTTGAATAATTCTTGCATGACCATCTCGAGATTTAGGTTTATCACACTCATGATCCCAATGTTTCTGCATCAAGTCTTCTGGCTTGATAATTTCGACATATCTTCTTCTAGCATAATGAAATGTCTTTGTTGGTTTTACATTATCAATATGAATAAGTTTCATACAATCTAGACATATCGCTACATTTGCTTTATGGATTCTAGGCCTGTAGTAATCATGATTAATTAGCTTAGAATTTCCGAATCCACCAAATAAACAATGTACATGATATAAACTTCTTTTCCCCTCAGAGACCAGCTCTTGTAAAGGAACTCTGACCCGAATAGCCCATTGTTGTGGAGTTTCATTGGGTCGAATAACTGATAAAGTATCATATTGTCTTTCAGTCTCGAAGAGTTCATCAAAGTATCGTTGATAATTATTAATACCACAATATTCGTAGATATATGACTCTGCATATTTCATATCATATCCAGGACGATTATTAATGAGCTTCACTGATTTAACTTTTTTATCAATAATAATAGAAATAGTGATACTTGCCATATTTGACGATTTAATAGAGACTTATAATGTTTTAGAGATTATGTAATTTCTATCGAATTTAAGGGTTTAGACCTATTTTATTTAATACCTATATACTCTAGAATAAGTGGATTCATTTTTAATAAAACGAGAAGATAATCTATAGTTATACTGATTTATGGGAAAAAATTGAAATATATATTAATATTACATTAATACGCATGATTTTTAAGAATCTAAACCATGTGTAGTTAATCCAATTTTGATATACCTGTATATGATCGCACAAATATCAACTGACCTCTTACACGTTCTATGAACTTCTAATTTAGCTCGATGGCGCATGAAAACACTAAATGTATATGGATTGGTATTCGATATATGAAAAATAGCAATTTTTTGTATTAATATATAATATCTATTCGTTTCACAATGATTTTTTTTGTGATACCGCTAAAAATTATTTTCTATCGTTATTAATAATAAAGCCTTTTCTTATTGTATATGGTTTCTCCGATAAGAAGAAATACCAATGAAACTTGAAAAGGATAAAAGAATGGAAGGCTTATTGTTCTTATCAGTAATAATATCAAAAACTCTTATGTTATGGAACTTGAGATCTTTACAATCTCCGAGATCGCCAAAATTTGTCTTATTTTTTATTCTACAAAAAGCGATCGTCTGACAGAAGGGTTTAAATCCCCCCCCCGTAAATGACGAAATATTTATTCTCAGTGCAGGTTCTCAGATTTAGTGAATGGAATAAGCTGGCGTCATTTTTAAATCATCAATTTTTTTAATTTTTTAAAATACTGTAAATTTATCATGTGAGACTGATAAAAATCAATTGTTGCACAGATTGTGTAAAAATCTTTTCTATTTAGTTAGTTATGTTTGTTTTCAGTTTAACCAAATCCTTCAAACGTTTGCCTACTGGTAGTAGTTGTATCTCAAATACGCTGGGTAATGGCTGTGTTGCTCGTTATACAATGCAAGTTAATCGTGAAAAGATCTTTTTCAATCGGAAACGAGAACTTGTTAAATTTAAAGAAGCATTTAGTTCCGATCCACAACTTCATGTTGTTCTAGGTCCTCCTAGTAGTGGGAAAACCGCATTGGTCCGCGAAGTAACGAGTAAAGGTAATTTCAACCCTCTTTTTATCGACTGCCGTAAAGGACAATTTAACACACCAAAGACAATTTATGATTCAATTTCTTCGCAATTCCAACCATTTTTCAAAACACATACGAAATACTTGACAAAAATGCTTCAACAAGGGGAAATCAGTGCTGTGATGGATGATTTACAGTTAAAATTTAAACCATTTAATGAGAATGAGAAAGATATTACTTCTGATGATGTCATAAAGTTGCTTGATAATATTGCAAGTGCCCTTCCGAAATGGACCTGTTGGGATGGTTATAACATACCTCCACCCATTTTGATCATTGATGAAGCAAACAAGTTTAGCCATCTTGGGGGTTCAAAAGATGGAGAAGTTCTTCTCGAATCAATTCTGGACTGGCTTGTGGTGAATACAAAACAGGAAAACCGCTTCCACGCTGTACTTACCTCTTCCGATTCATTCTTTCTTAACTGGATTGTAAATTGTAGGTCAATTTTGTAATCATATTTAGTAGCAATGTAAAAGCCTATCATTTTCTAATCTACATTTGTTCTAATAGTTTTGCATGTCCCACATGTTGCCCCATATGTTGTTGGAGATTTGAGTAGGAAAGAAGCTGAAGAGTATTTTGAAATGCATATTCTTCCTCGACATGGTATGTCCTTTTGCTAAATCATATATTTACTCATATCAAGTACTCACATGGTATTTATTATTTAAAAAAGAATGTGAAGAACTCAGAGGTAAATTTGACCGGGTCTGCAAAATAACAGGTACACGAATGCTCATTATTGATAAGTTTGTCAATGAATACAAAATTTACAGAGGAAAGCTTGAAGGTACATATCAGATTTATTATTCCCTTTTAGAAGATGACCATTTTTGCCAATTTTAAAACCTAATATTTTATAACTAATTATTTTACAGATAGTGAATTTTCGATTTTTAGACTAGAAGATGATAAGTTGAAGCGTGGTCTTTATCCTAAAAGCTTGAAATTTTCAAATAAGCCTTCTCCACCAGCCTGGAATGATCGTCATTTAATCAAAACTATGGAAGCAATAGTGAAAGCAGAGGATCAAGGATTCATTTTAGAAGAAGATTTGATTAAAGCAATCGGTGATGAACAAGTCTATTCACTTGTAGATTATAATTATCTACATCGTAGACCAACCAATCAATATGCCAATGACATTATTGACCCACCAGATGAAGTAATTTTGACTGCGATGAATCAGCCGTCATTATGCGCGATGAAGCGTCTCTTGTTACGACAAGCAAAAAATAATTGCCATTAGTTAGAATGTTCATAATTTTTATCACTTCACAGTACATTACAACATTTTAATGGTGTACTTTAAGATTTGCACGATTTTTAACTATGTAAAAAGTTTTTTCAAAATGTAATAAATAAATTGGCGAAATCAAAATAAACTTGCTATAGCTTAGAATTTTGCAAAATACCTCTATTATGACTAAAAAGATAAAACCGATGTGGGCAAACCAATACTTTATTTTTTGCCTAAAAAAAAGCTATATTAGGAGACTGTTGACCCCTCGCATTACATCATCAATATGCCAGAAAATTTTTTTCTAGAATTCTTTTTGACTTAACATAAAATATCGAGTTCTTTCTTGACATGACGATTGATCTCTTCCTGTACAAATTGGGATAATAATATCTTGGGTTTTCTTAATTTTTTATATAAGGCATAGTTTTAAAATAAAAATCACGCGCGCGTGAACAATTGTTCACGCCGATCACTTTAGCAAGAAAAAAAAAATGAATGTGTCTCAATACTTTGATATAATACGTCATTATACATAAGATATTAATATGTCTCGCAAATCTAGAAACAATAGGCGAAAAACTCAAGGCAAATTCACGGATAACCCTACACAGTATATGCAATTCAAAAATCTCGTTAAGTATATGCACATCATAGAAGGTGAAAATATAGTTATAATCAATAGGAGTACCCAGGATGTGAAAGCGATTTTTAATTATGAAGAGGTATATAGATATCTAGAGGTAAATAATCTCGATTCGGGTATTTTCAATATGTATAGGAAATAATTGGCTTATTTTTTCGAATGCACAAAAAAATCGATCACCAGGGTTAGTTTTTATTGATATAGAAAAAATAAAAATACAGGATAAAGAAACCTTAATTAGGTGGAGGGGAAGACATTGTTGAACTACTTTCATCACTTTCGTGGGTTACAGAATTAAATAGTAAAGACAGATCAACGATCAAAATTCTCTATAATTAAAAAAATAGTGATTAAGATGCGGAATAAATATATCATAGAATATAAATGGATGCATACCCGTAGCAACAACAAAGTCTCAATGAACTCAAATATAGCCTTCCTATCATTTGTAAATTGTGTTGGAATATTCACCGATTTTAAAAGAAAAAGACGGCTTATTCTCTCATGATCACGAATAAGAACGTATAGATTGAATTTCCGTCCAGCAACTTGAAATCTGAGAATGGCGAACTCATCTTTTTCTTCTAATTTACACCCTCTATTCGTCCAATATAAACCATCATTAAGCTCCCGCCACAATTTCACTCTATCATCATCTTCTTTTGTGTCGCTACAAATAATACGTGAGCATTCAGCAAACATTAATTCATAGTCTCTATCCATATGTTTCGCTATCAACATAATGTCTGGACGCTTTCCTTTCTCCCCTCTTCTGTCTTTGCTAGCCACGCTTTGGCGTTCCGCTCTATAATGGAGGAAATGTAAATAAAAAATATTAGGAAAATAAGAGAGTTCACTTACGTGCTAATATATGCAGATTTTCCTATTGGCAGATTTTTTAATGTGGCTCGAATAACAGGGACAATAATATCTGCTATGTATGTTCCCTCACTCTGCGTCTTAGCGAATTTAGGGCTAAAAGCTGGATTTTTCCAGATCTCTCCCCTATAGTATAAAAACATCATTATTATAAAATTTTATGAATGGGTTGACAATAAATAGATCCAGTATAATACTTACAAAGTATCAAGTATTCTAACCGCAATATCTCTAAGAACCTCTTCCCTCTCCCCCCAATTCTTATGTGAAAGTTTTTGTGAAGGTATCTCCATAGAACCATCGTCATAGTTTGTTAAAAAATCATCACATACTGTTTCGATTGAGTGAGGGAGAGCTACTTGCATATGTTTCACCGGTTCCTACAAATATATATTTCATTAATTTTAAGTATATATTTTATAACGCAAAGATGCATTTATATTGTTCTATAAACATAATTGGAATATATTCTATTCTTACCATGAAAGACTTGTAATCATCTTCTGGTAATTTCTTGACCATCTCCATTTCACTACTGAGAACCTGGCTCGCAAGTGGATCGCACCATGAAAGTTCCGAGGGATTAACATTTCCTAACCTCTTCCTTAAAATATTAGCATACCGAGCCTTGCTTTTTTTTAGATCCCCTTTTAATATCCGCAAATTTTTTTCAATTGTCTCGATGGTCAATTCTTCTTCTCGTCTAGCAACCTCGAAATCTCGAAGACTACACACTCCTTCGAAGGCGTCATCGAACTAGCGCGTAAAAACTCAAGTTAGATATTGTTATAAATAGATCTATACTAAATTCGTGTGCGCACACGTCGGATTTTTATCATGCAAAATTACCAACTATGTATGGCCAGTACATAGATGATAAATTACACGACATACATATTCGTCTTAAACTAGAAGAAAAGAAATACCCCCATACGTCTGTGGATTAAACCATTTTTGATCAACCCAGGGCTTGTATGGCTTTGGATATAACTTTGTCCCAGTTATCAGGAATATACTCCGCGCTATCATCATATAAAATATAAAGTTTTCCTATCAAATGATTTAATCACTAACCTTTAAAGGTAAACTCAGAAGCTTTAGGTATTTTTCCGAACCAGGTGTATATGAAGGCATAATAGCAGAAATTGCTTGGTGAAATATTTGTCTTAAATTATCCTTTAAGATCCAAGGCTCTTCATTCATTGCCTGATAAATTACTGAAAACGCAGTTATATGCTCTGGTAATGCAATACGGAGAAAATTACAGATAGAAACATATAATGTGGACATATTTGCGTGGTTAGTTTTGAGATATAAAAAATAATAGATTTCTTTGATAATACAAGTAATAAAATCACTATAAAAGCAATGAATAACCATAACTTCGATATACTGCCCTTTTAAACGTTTTCGTTCATCTCTTTCTACGTCTTCTTTCGGTTCTACAGAATGAGTATAATGCAGAGGAATAAAGAATGTTTTTTACGCCAAGAATTATCTTACAAAGAAAATGAATGTACATGAGGTAATTAATCGAATTTGGTTAATCGCACAAATAAACATGCATGCATAATTTATATAGTTACACCGCACAAGTACAGTCGGAACTCGATAAGACGTAACTCGATAAAACGAATTTTTGTTATAACGAAGTTTTTCTAGTTTACCAATTCATTTATAATAAAATCAACTCGATAAGACGAAGATTCCTATTGTTTCACTTTAATGTTTAAGATGATGTTTTCATATGGTTCCATATATAGTAAACTATAACTTGATAAGACGAATAACATCGGTTTATCGAAGGAAACTTCGCTTTATTTTGTACAATTTTATAAATGATTTACAGTAGTGGTAGTACGTATTGTTCCCTAAAATTAAAGATGAAAAATACACTGACGTTGAAAGATAAAAGAGAAATATGTGTTCTAAAACAATCAAAACCTACTCCAACGAATAGAGACCTTGCTATTCGTTTTAAAATTCGTGAAAATACTGTTTGTGACATATTAAAACGAAAGTCAGAATATCTTGCTATTAATCCAGAAGATCCCAATTCACATAATAAACGTTTACGCAAAGGAAAATATTCAGGTCTAGAAGATGCATTAATTCTTTGGACAACACAAATGCTTAAAGCAAATTTAACTATTAATGGTTCTGTATTACAATTGAAAGCAATATGTTTTGCGGAATTGTTAGGTTTCTGAGATTTTAAAGCATCAGGCGGATGGCTAAGTAATTTTAAAAAAAGACATAATTTTTCTCAATATAGTAAAGCTGGCGAAGCTAATAGTGCACCATTAGAATTATTACCATCTGAACGTGATCGATTACAAAATATTATTTCACATTATGATTTGGATAATGTGTACAACTGTGATGAAACCGGTAAATAATTTTATTTACAAACGGTATTTAATGAAAAATTTTAAATTTAACATTATACTAGCTCTATATTGGCAATTAGAACCATCCAAGACCTTGGCACAGGGACCTATATCAGGTATCAAAAAATCGAAAAATCGCATTACAGTTCTATTAACATGTAATGCTACAGGTAATGATTACATCAAGCCATTAATTATTCATAAATATAAAAACCCTCGTGCATTAAATGGAAAACAAAGAGAGGACTTTCTGGTAGAATATTATTGGAACTCGACTGCCTGGATGCAATTATCAGTATGGCATGACTATTTAAAAAAACTTGATACATCTATGCGACAAAAAAACAAAAAAATTCTACTTTTGGTGGATAATGCACCAACTCATTCAAATCGTGACCTTAATTTAACACATGTTACAATTGAATATTTATTACCAAACACAACCGCACATCTCCAGCCACTTGACGCAGGAATAATTAATTCGTTTAAGGTTTTTTTAATCTTATTATTATGTAGTTGGGAAATAAAAAAAAAAAAAAAATAATAATGTATTAACATTTAATTATTAGGCCAAATATCGCAAATTACTGGTACAAAATCGTATAGAGGCATATGAAATTTCTCAAGAATTCGAGACTCCTATTGTTCCATTAAATATCTGGAATGCAATTGAATGTTGTGCAAAATCTTGGAAAGGTGTAAGTTCTGAAACAATTCAAAATTGTTGGAAAAAACCCCAAATAATCCCACCATCATCACAAGATAGTCATATTGTAGAAACTGTTCAAGATAATTTTGAAGAAGAATCATCACAACTGGAACATCTAATTGACAAATTACCATTTGACGATCCTATTATGGCAATTGATTATATTACGATTGACAATGAAGTGGTTGAAGAAGAAACAGTAATGGAAGATGAAGAAATCATAGCTACAGTCACATTGACATCTAACAATGGTAATCAAGAGGAAGAAATAGAAACTCCTGTAGTTACTTTAACTGAAGCATTGAGAGGTGCTGAAGCACTTCTTAATTTTGTAACTTACCCACCAGAAAAATTTGAAATTTCAACAAAGCAAATTTCTAGTATTCGTTCTGTTAGAAGTAGCATTTTATTATATAAAAGTTCACTAGCGCATCAACGTAGTATAGATGAATATGTAAACTTTGATGTATAATTTTTTAAACCGAATTTTTTTTTTAAAATATATTAACTTCGTCTTATCAAAGATTACTTGATAAAACGAATATTTGATAAAACGATGTTTTGAGCCCAAAACAAGTACATCGGTTTAACGAGTTCTGACTGTATATCATAGATTAGGTTGACGACTAATTCACATGACCGATAACATTACAAAATTGATTTTAAATTTTAATTAAAATAACAATATAAAAAAAGTTTATTTATTTATATAACAAGATGTTAAGTAAAAATGTCTGTTATTATTAATAATAACCAAGTCTTCTCATTTTTTTCTTTTTCAAATTAAAAAGAAAATTAATAATTAATTTATTAAAAATAATAAAAATAAGTTTCTTTCCGAAAAACCATGTCTAATAAATTTAATAATAATAATGATTACTTTGCAACACTTAAAATTCTTCTTGTTGGTAACTCAAACGTAGGGAAATCGTCTCTTCTATTAAGATTTACTGATGACACATTTTTACCACATGAAGAAGTATCAGCAACAATAGGTAATTATAAAACAAATTAAATAGAAAATTATTTATTAATCAATTATAAGATACTTAAATGATTATATAAATAGGGGTGGATTTTAAAGTACATGAAATGGTTGTAGACGAAAAGAAATATAAATTAACAATTTGGGTATTTGTTTTATTAAAATATTTTTAAGTAGAATTTGATTGTTTTGTCGAGAAGATTTTGTTTTTCTATGTTTAAATGACATTATATTATTAATTTTAATTTTAGGATACTGCAGGTCAGGAACGTTTTAGAACATTAACATCTTCATATTATCGTGGCGCTCAAGGTATTATATTTGGTATGTGATAGATAATAACGTATATATATATGTTATGTGCATGATTTTAATTATTTAATGGCATTAATATTTTCTTTTTTTCTAGTATATGATGTATCAATTCGTGAGACATTTGATCAATTGGATAATTGGTTTAATGAATTAAATACCTATTGTTCAAATAAAAATATAGCGAAAATTATAATTGGTAATAAAATAGATAAGGTAAAAATAGCCAAGTAATTAATTATTAATCATTACTTTGATTATGTGTGGTAGTTTATTTTATTTTAATATTTTGTATCCATTTTTGAATTTTGAATTTTGAATTTTGAATTATGATTTTAGGGAACTGAAAGAGCAATTTCACGTAAAGAAGGTGAAGCATATGCAAGAAAATTACAAACTTTATATACAGAATGTAGTGCTAAAACAAAATATGGTGTGGAAGAAGCATTTGCTGAACTTGTTAGAAAGGTTGTTATAATTATAATTATTATTAATTACATGGAATAGCTATAATTAATCATTTTTATACTATCATACCAATAATGATTTTTTAGATTATTGAAGATCCAACTGTAGTGCAGAAAAAAATTGACAAAACAATTAATAATAATGTTAATATATTTTCACAGGACAAACAAAAATCAAATAATAATAATAATGGATTTTGTTCAAAGGCAACATCCAAAGAATTATTTTTTTGCATGGTTTTCCTATATATATTCATCATATTCTATCTCATTATTAATTTGTTATTTTTTGAGTTAGAAAAATGACGTTTTTATTTTTATTTTTGTAATTAATTAATTAATTTTGATTTTTTGTATTATATATAATAATTATTATTATTACATTATATATAATAAAATAATATATATAGTATAATAATAATAAAAATAAAAACAAAAAAGACATTTATTTAATAATATATTGATACAAAATTTATATCATTATTAGGTTCAATACCATTTTCTAACATTTATCATAAATTTTTTTTGCTTTTTCATTTTCTCTAATACTAATATTGCCTTTAATTAAAGATGCATAAGTATGTATATTTGGCTTTACATTACATGATTTCATTAAATTAAACATCTTTAAAGAATTTTCTAATTTACCCAATTTAGCAAAACCCTCTATTGATTTTGTGAATATTATAGTATTTGGTTTGATTTTGTATTTTAACATTGCTTGAAATATTTCTAATGATTTTTGTATATCAGTCAGACGACATTTCACGCGATCGACATGTCTACTGTAATAACTACAATGTGGATCATCTATACTCAAAAGTTTAAAATTTTTGAAATATTATGTGATCCACACATTGAATTTTAAAAAACTCAACATCATTCAATTCAGCTTTAAAAAGGGAGTCTATTAATCTAAAAAAAAAATTGTCTCAAATTTTCTTTTCATAGATTTTTAAATTTGAAAGTTATGCTCAGAAGTGCAACAATAATTTTCGTGTTACGATATTTTGAATCTCACGATCAAATTTGGTAATGGTTTTCTTTTAATGTAATACTATTTTGTTGTAAGGAACTTTTATTTATTAATAAAAAAAGGGAATAAATAAATCAAATAAATCAAATGTATGTTGTAGAAAATATTCTATGAAGAAAAAAGTTGTCACACGAAATTTACTTAGTCTCAATTTCTTAAATGTATAACAAAATTCGGAATATTAATTTTTTGTAAGCTTTGTAGTGGAATGTCAAAATTTTCAAGAGATATGAATGCTTTTAGGTTAGACAAAATCAAAGCAATCAGATGGGGAAAAATTGTCAATTATTTCATTAATGAGAAATATTTATTTTTGTTCAAAACTAAAGATGGCTCTGCAACTAGGAAGTTGCAACCCAAAAAAAGATTGCATCTAATGCTGCAACTGCTGTAAGTCTGCAACTGTCTGCAACCTCTGGTTGATCAGCTACTTCAATCACTATAAAACTAAATTTATTTTTATCAAAAAAAGTTTTTTAATTAATGATTTTATTTAAAAACAATAAATCGCATTATGAGATTCCATTTCTGATACTAAATCATCATAATTATAGTTGCAGACAGAAAAGGCTGCAACTCAAGCTTTAAAACCTGCAGTTGCAGAAAATGTGAAAATAATTACAGACACCAATTTTAATTTTGTAGACATTTATTATATTAAGGTTTTTTGATTATATCAAGAGATATGGTCAAGAGAAGAGTTAGGAATAGAGTTATTCTTCACCAAGTCAAAAACCGACCCTTTAAATACATTTTTGAGTAGTACAATTTAATTTATTAGACTATTTCAAAGGTTTGCTTCCAACTTCTTAGATTCAAACCATTTGTTATTTGTTAATGAAACAATTGTTGATGAAGTGATTGTTGGCAAAATGAATCAAACCAGCATTTATTTTTACATTATCAAATTCATGATTTTAATCTTATAGAATCATTTAAAAGATGAAACCTTGTTACTGATATGAATATTTATATTACTATTTTTGTAACCAGTTACAATCTCTATACAGATGATATTCTAAACAGGACAATGACTGAGACACCATTGATACATTTCGCATTTTTAGGAAAAAATGACATATGTATTTCTAGGTACATTATAATCTAATTTTAATCCATTATATAACTAGTACAAATTTAGAAATTATAGCAGAAAATTTTGATTTGATTGGATAATTCCCAATATGTAACATGAACATTTGCATTGATAATGATTTTGGGATTTTTATTTAACATAATTTAGTGAAGTTTCCTCAAAACCTTAAAAAACTTTCTCAGTTACAAACTATATCTGGTCTGAGACTTTATTCCAAAGCATTTATCTTGTCAACTGGCATAGAGGTTTTAGCCCAAGAAATGCAAAAAATATACTTATAGCAAACAAGCCATGGTTAGCAAATGTGCGGCCCATTGATGGTCTATTGATGGTCCATTAGTGTAACACTTTAACCATATTTAGTATTTTATTAATGGCAATGGACCAGTCCAAAATACATCTGTTCTTAATAGACCAGTCAATTTGCCAACCTTGAAACGAACAGGTGACCTTTCAAAATTGGAATACTGCATTAAAATTTTATTATCAAGTGCTTTTCTGGCTTTATCTACTGTAAGCTTGTTCTGAAATATATAAGTTTGAAACCTATACAATCCAAACTAATGGTAAATAGTCGATATGTTACAAATGGGGCATGCTGCAACAAAACCAGACAAAGTGAACATTGATATTACCAAGGATTTTAGGGATCAAATTTAGTCATTCCATCACAATTGTAATGTGATCAGTTTTATAATGTCACATTTGTTAAGTGATATATAGGATTATCTCTAGACAAAAATAGTTAATATGAAATTAATTTACATCAGATCTACTATGGAACCCAAGAATTATAGCACCATTAGAAGTATTCTGAAGAAAGAGCAAGGTGAAAAAATTGCTCCTTATATTTTCAAAATAAATGATACTCAAACACTTGAGGCTTATCTAAGAAAAGAAAGGATTACTTATGAAATTTACCAAGAAAGAAAAATAATAAATGTTGGAAAAAGAAAGCATCATGATGATGCATTATTACCTAATAAAAAGCAGAAATCCTTAGAAGGAAAATAATTTTCTTATTACAATATTGATTTATTTTTTTTTACTGACTATTACTACAAAGAAAATTCTCCTTTATGCAAAATGTAATTAGTGATATCATATTATTGCATTGCTTATTATTATCAATAAAAAAAAACGTTGTTTGAGTTTTGAACAAATTCTACTACATTCAAGGATATGTTTTATAAGTCTTTGTTTTTCTTTCATTGACATTAAAACAAGGTAAGTAATCCCGCCTTGTATTAAAACATTATAAAAACATTACCAATTCACTTAATTTTCAGGTAAACAAAATTCAAATAACAAATCCTTCTAACAATCACCATTAAACAATTTTATTTTGGTTTAAAAAAAACAAATAATCAATAAATATTTACACAATTTTCATCCATAACATTTTAAAAAAAAATGCTTACATTCAGTAACGAATTTTTTGTGGATTATTAATCGGACTCCTTGGTTTCTTACTTCGCTATAAACCTATCAAAATCAATTCCATATTATAAATCAAAAAATTGATCAAATAATCGATAAAATAGAACCAAGAAGGAAACAATTTAAAATTAAAACAAACCAACCTACTAGTGATAAACAATATTCACAAGAAATAGAAAATCTATGGAAGGATTTTAAACAATTATTTGATAAAAAGACTGGGTTGAATCCCGATTTTTCATTTAATGAAATGGTCATTGAAATTCAACAATTATTAGGAGGTGGAAAAGGAGTTGCTGCTTCCACAATAAAATGAAAAACCAATCCTAGAAGTAAAACGATAGAAGCAATTCAGGAATGGGTTAACAAAGAAAAGAAGAAAGAGGTAGAGAGTGAAGTTGACAAAGATAATGAAAACGAAGAAAATACAAATATTAATAATAACATTATAAAAATAGTAGTAATAGTGAAAGTTAGATTTTTGTCAGAGTGCCCAAAGAATAGGTAATACTCATAATGGCTTTGGGTCCAAGTATTTTCCTCCCATGCAAGTGCTCTGACAATTCTTTAACTTATATTTTTATAAATTATTTATGTATTTTTCTTATTATTAGTTGAATTATAATTTTTTTTTGTCGTTTAATTAATTTGTCCCGTAAAAAAATTTTTTTAATTGCAAGTCATGTGCCATTATTTATCATTGGTCAAAATCATGCATAAATTATAACAATTACGATCTAAATCAATAAAAAAAAAATTTTTTAAAAAATTAATCATACAAATCTTTTTTTTATTTCAAAAATGGCAACATTCGAAAAAATAGAAAACGAATTACAAAAAGCAGAAGAAAGGTTAGAGAAGGTGGAGAAGAAGTTAGAGGATTGGGGGAAAGGGGATAAGGGGAAGAGGTTAAATGAGTTGTTGGGAGGAGAGAAAGAAAAATGGGATAGAGAAAGGAAATACTTAATCGAAAAAAAGAAGACATTGGAAAAAGATAAAGAAGATTGGAAGGAGCAGGTGAAGGAGTGGAGGAAGGCGTTAAGAGAATTTAGAGGAAGAGAAGGGGAAGGTAATGAACAAATTGCATTAAAAAAAAAATTTTTTTATTTTTTTGTTCATTCCATTTTGTTTATTTTTTGTTCATTCAATTTCGTTTATTTATTTATATGTTTGTCTGTGGAATATTTGAATTATCATTTACAACTTTAACTGACTTGTGCTTTTCAATTTCTTGTTTGTACTGAAATTCATGAAGGGAAACAAAAAGTTAAATTTGAAAAGTTCCAGGTACAAATCATGCTAACTTTTATTTGAAATGTTTTGTTCTCTTTTTCTATATTTTTTACATTTCTACATATTTTCAGGTTTCAAAAAGATGGAAGGCAAATGGTGCAGTAACAGCAATAGAGAGAAAAGTGCAATGCTTTGCTGATCCTGCTGAATGGAATTCATCACTTCTCAAGAAAATTATTGAAGGTTCTTTTTTAATGATACATGGTGCATGTGCTTCGGGTAAATCATCTTGTGTATTTCGAACTATGGAACAGCTGAATGAGAAAGGTTATTTCTGCTTATAGTAAGTTCATTGATCTATGTTTATTTATACAGTGTGTAACGAAAAAAATTGCCTTCACAAAAACTGAAATAAATTTGAAATAAATAAGGAAATACGTTGTAAATCTCAAAACACATCTTGATTTTCAATTAATTAT